GGTTATCATAAGGTGAGAAGGTATTTATGAAAATGATGTGAGAATGTAGTGGGCATCTATTCTCCCTTCCTAGTAGTACCCTTAAGTTAGCCAGGGTTGGATTCTACTGCTTGCAACCAATAGCACTAACTGACTTAGTTTAGCTCATGGAACTGATGGGAAGGCTGAGAGAACCAGACTTGGAAAGGATGGTAAACGAGGCAGAAACTGAGATCTTCCCAGGGCACTTCTGAATAGGCTCTACACATTTCCAGGCCTTTTGTCATTCATTGCTCAAGATTAAAATTCCAGGGATGGCATCTGATTGGCCACTGTCTGTCTGGGGTTAGGGCTGGCACTTTGATTGATAGTCCCCCTAGCCCCACCTGTCTTGGGTGCAGGAAGAGTCATTTACCCAAAGTAAAATAAGGGCGCTTTATCAGAAAATGGACCAACAGGTGCTAGGTGACAAAACAAAATAGCCAATATGCCCAGAGAGAGGCTTCCGTGGAATGAAAGTAAGTCTGACTGGGTGCAATCGTCCAGGGGGCGACTCCCCATAGTATGGTTAAAAACACTTTCTTTGTTCCTGGGAATTTCTCAAATCTTCACCATTAATTTGTTTATAGTTATTTTAGAGTCAGCAGGTCTATAGCTGACTAATGTCACCTCCCATTATAAACCTTTCCTGCTTTCCTTTCCTTTTTATTTTCTTTCTTCCTTCTCTTCCTTGATAAATATTATTTTACACTCATGATGAAGTCATGTCCACATTTTTGGATGCATCATCTATGTTAACCTCAGATTTGTGTGTGTGAATGAGTGTGTGTGCATGTGTAATACTGAAATAACTGTGACCACATGAGTAATTGGACAAGTATCTTCCTTCTGATTTACCAGTTATGTTTTCTCCTGCAAGTCATTTTGCCTAGCTGAATCTCACTTTCTTCATCTGTAAAATAGGTGTAATTATACTTAATCCATAAGTTTGTTAAATAATTACAAGCTACCTTTCACTGAACACTTATCATATACCCACTCCAGAGGGCCAGATGAGTAATGTGAATGAAAGTATTTTGGAGGGGCCAAGTATTCGGGAGGGGCCATGTGAGACAATAAGGAATGGTGGGGATTATAGGGAACTAGAGGGAATGCTTTCCTCATAAAAAGAGAGCAGCTCTGCTTAGCACGAAGTCACAGTTTTCAAAGTGAGGTCCATTGACAGCAGTATGAGCATCACCTGGAAACCTGTTAGAAATGCAAATTCTCGGGTCCCATCTAGACCTACTGAATCAAAACTGTGGGTGGGGATCCTGCAGTCTCTGTTTTAACAAACCCTCTAAGTGATTCTGATGCACGCTCCGTTTTGAGACCCACAGTTCTAGCTGATAGTTGCTATGTAAGATTGCAGGACTGTGTTGCCAGATCTTACACTGTTTTCAGAAGAAGCTAGTGATTTATTTTTATGTGAAATTCCCCACTTTTAAATCTTGGCAACTAATTTAAATTTTAAAAATGTACTGTGTGGGCTAATAATATATGTGTTCTGGCCAGATTTGCAATCTCCGGCTTGTGCTTTTCCCTTTGATCCATATAATAATCCTACAAGGCAGTTATTATAATACTCATTTTATGGAGGAAGAAGATGTAGGTCCAAAAAGTGAAGTGCTGTTCTAAATCACATAGCCAGGAAGTGACCAGTCCCTGATTTGGACCTAGATGCATTTGGTTCTAAAGCCTCTGCTCTTTTTACTTAAGTAGAAGAGAAAATATATACTATACCTAGCACAGAGCCCAGACCACAAAAGCTAAATATCTGATGTCATTGACCAATGAAATTGTCTTCTCCATTCTCTACCCCACCCCACCCCATTCCTTCAGCCTCCTACTAATCTGAATTCCTGTAAGAGAGAGCCAGTCAGCACAGGAGCCCATAAGGGCCTGGGAGAGGTGAGGCTGGTCAGTTTCCTGTCCAGGGGAGCTGAATAGGTCCCGGAAGAAAGCTGTGGGCAGCAGTGCCCGGGGCTGAATGTCCAGTGGCCAGCTAGGTCCACAGGCTAAAACCGGCTGCTCACCAAAGTGTCCTCTGTGTGCCCTAGACTGGGTTTCAGGAGACTACTCAGGGCTGTGTCCCCACCTGGCTCTAGCCCTCATTGCTGTTGACTGTTCTATGAGCTCAGAGTAAACAGCCCTGGCCCCTCCCAACAACGGTATGTCTCCAGTCCCCAGGCTGGGCATGGGAATCTGGGGAGGCATTTTCAGCCTCTTTTACCAGCATCCATCTGTGGGGACAATGGCTGGATGTGCTCATATTACCAAGCCCTACTCACCTGTTGTCCCAATGGTCATTGCCCCAGACCCCCTCAGGCCTCCAGCAGCAAAGACCTCCTGGAGCTTCCAGAACCTCAGATCATAGGAGCAGGAAGGATGTTTGAAGGCTCCTCTTGCCTAACTCCCTCAGTAACTCTGTTTTGACATTTACCACCCTGGATTCTAAAGCTGGGTATATACTTATCAGTCTCCTTAGTAACCATAGACATTTATTGCACATTCAGAGTCATTTATCCAGTACCTATTATGTGCCAAGCCTGGATTCCTATGTCAATCGGCATGAACCTACTGTCAAGAATACACAGTTGTTCCATGGCAGCAACATTACATTCATGTTCTCATTGATGTCTTACAAAGTCATCGTTTTTATAGATGACAAAATAGCAGCTCAGAACAGGGAGGTGATTTATTCAGTGTCCCTCTGAGATAGAAGGTGCTCAGTTTCCCTGGGCTCAGGTGTCAGGACACATCTCTGGGTTTCAAGCCACTTCCTGAGGTCTCAGACCCCTTCTCTAGGTCCTACCCTAGAGGAAAGTTACTGTTGCCAGTTAGACTTATTTCCAGCACCAACAGGAGGAAAATGAGACCAGAAGGGGCTGGCTTATGCAAATCCAGTAGCTGGGCATACTCAGTAGAGAGGGGTTATATAACCCTGGTAGCTGAATGACCTTCCAATAGAGGTGCTAGAGAGCACAGAATATTCTTGAATATGTCTGGTGCATGTGACAGGATTTGACCAATGAACATGCTCCAGAAGAGGACGAATTGAGCACGTGCAAGACTATGCTACACAACTGGGAACCACAGCCTTAATTGAATATTCATTAGATGGCTAAACTATAAAAGCTGAATCCCAGCAGAAGGCAGCGCTGTTGCTTAGGCTCCTGGAGCTAGTCCACACTTTGCCTGTGGAGTGTGTATTTCTTTATTTTTTATTTTATTTTATTATTTTTTTTGTCTTTTTGTCTTTTTCCGTGTCCGGCAACGGATCGCAACCCTCAGTGTTGCCCCCCCCCGTACCGGACCGGAGACCGGCAACGGGATCGCAACCCTCGGTGTTGCTCCCGCGCCTCGCTCAGCCAGCGAGCGGGAACCGGTCTGTATGTGGGATCCGAACCCTCCGGCGGGAGCGCCGCCGCGCTTCCCAAGCGGCGCACTATCCAGTGCACCACCGGGCCGGTCCAGTGTATTTCTTTATTTTTGTATCAAACTTACTTTCAGCAAGCAGCTGCTTGTTCTCTTGAGCCAGCCTGCCATTTGTCCTGAACTTTAAGTATGTATTTCTTACTTTTGTGTTAAACTTGTTACAGGACCTGCTCAGTCTCTGGAGATATGCCACACTCTCTCTGAAATCTGTATCTCTTATTCATTATATTAAACCTGTTCCCACTTTCTACTGTGACTCTGCTTTTGAATTCTTTCCTGTGGCAGAGTCAAGAATCTGTTAAGAGGACGGGGTGGGTTGAGGCCAGCTATCGGGCCCCTCAGATCCTACCTCTGACATAACCTCAGGTGGAAGGTGGTGGAGGTAAGTCAAGACTAGACCCTGTCACCACAAGACCAGTCCCAGAGGGCTCCTTCTGATTACTTTCTTTTCACCAAATGTCTTGCCTTCTATGTGTCACATGGTAGGCACCCAGTGAACATTTATGATGGAATGGAAAAAACAAGGACTTGGAGGGAAAGAGATCTGGGTTCAAAAACCTTGTTTGGGGCCGGCCCTGTAGCTCACTTGGGGAAGTGCGGTGCTGGTAGTGCTGAGGCCATGGGTTCGGATCCTGTATAGGGATGGCCGGTGCGCTCACTGGCTGAGTGTGGTGCGGACCACACAGTGCCAAGGGTTGCGATCCCCTTACCAGTCAAAAACAAAAACAAAAGGAAAAACAAACAAACAAAAAAAAAAACCTTGTCTGCACTGCTTCATTTGGGACCTTGGGTGGGGGAATCCTAAACCTCTGAACATTCAGTGCACTTGTCTTGTATAGCTGATGATAACAATAACTCTCTAGCCATTAAGTTTGCTGGGAAGAGTCAAGGAACACGGAGCCTGGCACAGAGGCAGCCCTGATAGGGGGTTGGTGTGGAAAAGAGGGAGAAACACCCACCCCAAATGGCTCCAGACTGTTGACAGGTGTTTCAACTTCATGGTCCTGTTTCTTATAAAATGGGTTCATTTACTAATAACAACTGCTTTTACTGTAGCCCATACTATGTGCCCTGTACCACTGCAGTAGCCTTCCATCACTAATCCCTAAAAGGGGATCTGAACTCTGATCTGGCCTACCCCAAATCCAACCACTTAATCCCCATTCTCCATTGCCTCCCGGCGGGCCCTGCCTTTTCCTCCTCCCCCCCCCCCCCGACCGGGTGCATTTTAGGGAGACCCCCGAGCCTGGGAGTGGGAACCCAGGCCTGGGCCCTGGCGTCTCGCTGCCCTGCCCTCAGGCCCCAGACAGAGGAAGGGAGAGAGCAGTGGACAAGGTACCGGCTGCGGCTGGTCCAGCGGCTCCCAGCCTGGAAGCTGCTTAGGTTCCGGGTTCCCACCGGGGCCAAGTGAAACACCTGATCCCGGGAGATTGTGAAATGGCATGAAGTGGCAGCCCGCCCCGCGCCGTCCGCCGAGCTCTCTCACTCCTCCTCCCGGCTCGGCCCCGCCCTTGCCCCACGCCCCCAGCGCGCGGTTAAATCCCCCCGGCCCGCGGCGGCTCACACCGCACCCCGCCCCAGCGCAGCACCATGCCCGTCTGCCGCCTCGGCCCGCTGGCCGCCGCCCTCCTTGGCCTGCTGCTGCTGGGCCTGCGCCCAGTCACAGGCGAGTGAGGCGGGGGGAGGCCGGGCGCCCAGAGGGGCCGAGCCTCGAGAGAGCGCCGGGACAGAGCCTCGCTCGGCGCTGGGGGAGGGAGG